ACAATTATTCACTCGTCTCTATCATTGCAAGCTCACCGTCGATGCATCCATGACTACCTTACAAGATGGCGCCTGTTTTGAAAAGCTATGTTTTATCAGAGTATAGAAAAATAGATATAACGTAAAAAAACTTCTTTCTATACAAAATGAAAATTTTGGTTTTCCAGATTAAGGGATTTTAATTAATTATTTATTTTTATTAAACATTACGTCTTTCCTCTAAAAAAAAAGCACATTTGATTGGTACGGCATTTCGTTTGTGCTGCGACTATATTACACTGATTATTTTACTAARCTAGAAGCTTTTTGCTTGACTTTGATGCTGTTAGAGAAGTCAAAAAAYAATTTTGATCATTTGTCATAGTCCAACAAGAATGAACAAAACTRTTATAACTTACTTTACTATCTACTATCGTAAGAGACTGGGTCGAGATATGCTTGAGTGATGACGTGGTAAAAAATCTCTCTCCGCCAAAATTCAAATTTTATCTGACCATTCRAAGTCTTAACTGTTCATGGCCGATAATAAGGATTTAAATAAGGGAAARAGAAGGAACAGGTATTCAGTATCATCGACAGATAGTGTCAGTTATTCACCAGACCAACGAAAAAGAAGTTCCAACCGAAGGAGGTGAAGAAGATATTCTAACGGCTTTAACGATGGCTGAAAGATTCAGTGAGAAACTGGAAAAAATACTAAGCAAGCTGGAAAAACTAGATACAATTCAATCATCTGTGGAGAAAATTGAAGACTCGCTATATCTGAACTTGAAGAAAGATCGAACCAACCAGGAGAGTTTCAAGATCTCTGCGAATAAAGACATGATCCAAGGCCTAAAGCATGGATTAATGGGTTAATTTTTATTAACAAGGTATGAAAATTTTAGGCATTTCTTTTTTATATAATAAGGACTACTATTACGATAACAACTTTAAAAGAATCATTACTAATTTTAAGGCAACTCTATCAATTTGCAAAATGAGAAATTTAACGCTTTATGGAAAAATCCAAGTACTCCGTTCACTTGCGCTTCCTCAACTCTTATATGGATATGTATGCTCAAAGATCCATGTCCCCGAAGTTTTTATTCAACTAGTTCAAAGTACAATTAAAGACTTTATATGGAATGAAAAAAAACAACAACAAAAAACAAAAAAAAACAACTAAAATTCAACAGGTCAGTTTAATTGGTGAGTATTCAATGGKTGGATTGAAATTCCCAGATTTCGGGTTATGTCTCACTGCTAATMGAGTAAAATGGGCTGAAAGGCTAATGATAGCTGAAGGAGAATCAACTTGGAATACTATTCCTTCAACATATATCGAACCCACAGGGGGTTTTCATCAAGTAAACATTAATTTTGATTATCAACGGATTCCAGAAAACTTGTCCCCTTTTTACAAAGATATTTCAAGATGTTGCTCGGAAGTATAACGAAGGACAATATTAAAAATGACCTTTCCTTAGTTGTTGATCGATATTTGTGGAATAACAAATATATAAAAATTTGGAACGCCTCAGTGTTCTATAAACGTTTCGCAGATCTAAACATAAACAAGGTATTAGACCTATGTGACGATAATAATGAATTCCAATAGGATCATGTTAACAATCTGGGACTTAAGGATGGTGGGTACAGTTGTTAGCGCGCACTTTTACTGCGGACATTATGTAATCCACAGGAACTCCAATATTTTCCGCAAGAATAAGGACAACAACAAAACGAAATAAATGCGTGATCATTGTTGTCATCATTTTTCTTTTCTTTTTTTTCTAATAGCAATTTTTTCATGGGTGTCTGTATGGCGTAGTTAAATAGTACTGTGAAAATTAAAATGAAAGTTGTGAAAAGGAGAAAACGACGACTAGAGGGTAGATTTGTCAGAAATAGAGTACCGGTGAAGCGACAAAAACTAGACGAAAAAGATCAAGCGGCGGAGAAACGTGAAAACAAACACTAAATATTAATTGAAGGAAGGCAAATTATTGAGTTAGATTACCTGATGGAGCAGATAAAAAGTGGGTTTAGCGAATGTAAAGAGGCACTTAAACTTCATGAATTGATCGACGAAAAAAATGTTTGGACTTTGTAGTTCGTTTACATTCAATGCGAATGCGGAGTTTTAAACTGAAATTTCACCTACTATAAACCACTTAGTTTCTCCTATGAAAATCTTGAGGCTTTATTCAATTCTCAGTTATCCCTACAAGGGTTCTTATTGCATTCTCTAGAGCAATTTAGTGACCGTATTCTTGCAGTAGTTCTTGCAGTAGTCCGCCATGTTTACCATCAGTTACCCAGTTTACCAAATTTGTAACCTGGAAAAAAGCTTGAAATCTGATATTCAAAAAATTATAACTTCGAAAAACGCATGGCGACACCATTTTTTTATTTTCTTGGTATGTTTTGTAAACAGTTAACACAATTGTGAAGTGCTATTTCAAAAATAAAAATTGTTTTGGGTGGTTTCCTTTTTGATTTTGTGTTTTTGTCCAAAATTGAAATTTCACCTACTTTTGCGCAAAAGAAGATAAAAAGTGTACTTTTATCTTTGCAACTTGAAATATTTTTATTAATATGAAAAATATTTATGTTTAAGATTATTTTAGACAAAATGTCGATGTACTTAAGCCAAACACAAGGGATATGCGATTTTTTGAAGTGCTTCAAAATACGCTCATGTCATCGGGTCTTTAATGTCAATTATCTCGCTTGGATGCGTTGGGACCCCCAAATTTTTTCACGTTTTTAGATAGCCCCTTGGGTACTCTAAATAACTGACACAGTTTCATTTAAATAAAAATGGGTCGCGAACTGTACCCACCATCCTTAAGGATAAATTTCATGCGGTGGGCTGGATTAGTACACCCAATCCGAAGGAATGGAAAAACGCGCTGAAAGAAAGGAACATAATRTATGCAAAGGGACAACCAACGAGGTTTTTGACGTTAGACAAAAAGTTAAGCTGTAAAAGGTAGAAACAAACCAAATTTATTAATGGCTTATCAAA